TCCCGGTGCCATAGGAACTTGGTGCTACAAGGTTTCGGTGCTTCAACGTGATGGTGCTACAAGGTCCTGGTGCCATATTGTCCTGGTGCTACAGTTATCTGGTGCTACACTGTGCTTGTGCTTCAGGGTGATGGTGCTACAAGGTTTTGGTGCTACAGGGTCCTAGTGCTTCAACTTGATGGTGCTACAGGGTCCTGGTGCTACAGTGTCTTGGTGCTACAGGGTCCTGGTCCTACATGTCCTGGTGCTACAGTATCTTGGTGCTACAGGGTCCTGGTCCTACATGTCCTGGTGCTACAGGGTCCTGGTGCTACAGGGTCCTGGTGCTACAGGGTCCTTGTGCTACAGGGTACTGGTGCTACAGGGTCCTGGTGCTACAAGGTCCTTGTGCTACAGGGTACTGGTGCTACAGGGTCCTGGTGCTTCAACTTGATTGTGCTACAAGGTCCTGATGCTACAAGGTCCTGGTGTTAGGTTTCTGCTGCTTCTGGGTCCTGGTGCTAGATGTCCATGTGCTACAGGGTCCTGGTGCTTCTGTGTTAAGGTACTATAAGGTCCTGATGCTAAAAATTCTGGTGCTACAGTAACCTGGCGCTAGAGGAATCTACGGTGTCCTGGTGCTATAGGGTGATGGTCATACAAGGTTCTGAGGCTAAAAATGCTGGTGCTACAGTATCATAGTGCTAGAGGTGTGCTACGGTGTCCTGGTGCCATAGGAACTTGGTGCTACAAGGTCTTGGTGCTTCACCTTGATGTTGCTACAAGGTCCTGGTGCCCCAGTGTCCTGGTGCTACAAGGTCCTGGTGCCCCAGTGTCCTGGTGCTACAAGGTCCTGGTGCTACAGGGTTCTTGTGCTGCACGTTCATGATACTAAAAGGTCTGGGAGTTATAGGTTCTGATGCTACAATGCCATGGTGTAACGTGATCCTAGTGCTACATTGTTCCGGTGCTTCACTGTTGTAGAGATGACGGAATCAGTCATTGACCTGACGACTAGCATATCAGTCACGTGATGACCGTCCACTGTCCTTGTGTTCATCGTTACCTCCGCACTAAGATTTACAGCTCGTGGCTACACGAATATTTCATGACCACGAATTCGTTTCATTCCAATCTTTCCAATCGACCAATAAATCTTGAATAAAACATTATTTAAAAAACAACTCAATTTTTCCCCCGTCCCCGCTCCAACCAGCCAATTTCTTGGGGAAGTCTCAGCCTCCTTTTACCCCAGAGTAAAATACTTTACAGACTTCAAATCTTAAATTTTTTTCTCCTCAAAAAAAAAAAAAAAAAAAAAAAAAAAAAAAAAAAAAAATTCCCAATATTAGAAACAAGTTTGCTGTCAATCAGGGTTACTTCCCCTCATTTTTCGCCCCTAGTTTGGGCGGCTTGGTCAAATTTAGGTCATCACTCCCAGGACCCTGTCTTGGGGCCGTTGGTGACAGCTCCTAATGGTATTGGTGCCAGCCGTGCCCGGCAGTGAGAAATTGGAACCGATGAGAATTTGGGAAGGTGGCGCTGGGCTCCGGATAAGAGGGCGTGGTGGGGGTGGGGGGTGGGGGGAGGGGAGTCATCGATGTGACTGGAATACTCATAAGAATAAAATGTATTTTTTTTTCGATAACATATATCAAAAGTAACGTATTCAGCTGCATAGGAACTATTCTAGTTATAGATCACAAAGGAACTTTGTTTTAAAAACTATTTCCTTTTATATTTAAAAAAAAACAGGAAATTTTAATAATCAGATTCGTTATACAAAATTTTCAAAATGCCTGTCTCGGTACATTTTATTTCAGTAAATTATTGCAAGGCAAACACCTATTTTATGACAAGATGTCTTATTAAGTATGTTTTTATTGAATTAATTGAAACATTCCCTCCCCCCATGACATAAGTCTACATTTCCTCTCCCCATGGCATAAATCCACAGTCCCTTTCCCCATGGCATAAGTCCACATTCCCTCTCCCCATGACATAAGTCCACACTCCCTCTCTCCATGGCATAAGTCCACATTCCCTCTCTCCATGACATAAGTCCACATTCCCTCTCTCCATGGCATAAGTCCACATTCCCTCTCTCCATGGCATAAGTCCACATTCCCTCTCCCCATGGCACAGGTTCATATTCTCTCTCCCTAATGTCCTATTTCCTTTTCCTATAGCAAATGTCCACATCCTCTCAATCCCTCTCCCTATGACATACCCCCCCCCCTTCTCCCACTATGATTCCTACTTCACTAAACACAATCAAACTCTTTCAGCATACCGGTTATAATTGTGTCCCTAGCTCATAAAACCTTGAACCTAATCTAGTTAATGCCCACCATTGTTCTCCATAAATCATCGATCGAATCTCAGCTTATAACTTAAATCTATTATTGATGCCAGATTTCGCCTGGGATTCCTTGCGTTGCTTCAGATTTTTAAAACTCGGGTTCGTGCACCGTATGGACTTGATGACACCGTGAACCCTGAGGTCTCTGTCACGTGTGTACGTGAACCCTGAGGTTTCATGTAATGTAAGTGCATGAACCCTGGGGTTTCAGGTAACATGACTAAGCGAACCCTGAGGTCTCTGTGACGTGAGTACGTGAACCCTGAGGTGTCTGTGACGTACGTGAACCCTGAGTTTCTATGTAATGTAAGTGCATGAACCATGTGACATGACTGCGCGAACCCTGAGGTCTCAGTGGAGTGAGGTTTCATGTAACGTGAGTACGTGAACCCTAAGGTCTTTGTGACGTGATTACGTGAACCCTAAGGTCTCTGTCACATGATTACGTGAACCCTAAGATCTCTGTGACGTGATTACGTGAACCCTAGGGTCTCTGTGACGTGAGTACGCGAACCCTAAGGTCTCTGTGACGTGAGTACGTGAACCCTAAGGTCTCTGTGACGTGAGTACGCGAACCCTAAGATCTCTGTGACGTGATTACGTGAACCCTGGGGTTTCTGTGACGTGAGTACGCGAACCCTAAGGTCTCTGTGACGTGAGTACGCGAACCCTAAGGTCTCTGTGACGTGAGTACGGGAACCCTAAGGTCTCTGTGACGTGAGTACGTGAACCCTAAGGTCTCTGTGACGTGAGTACGGGAACCCTAAGGTCTCTGTGACGTGAGTACGTGAACCCTAAGGTCTCTGTGACGTGAGTACGTGAACCCTAAGGTCTCTGTGACGTGAGTACGCGAACCCTAAGATCTCTGTGACGTGATTACGTGAACCCTGGGGTTTCTGTGACGTGAGTACGCGAACCCTAAGGTCTCTGTGACGTGAGTACGCGAACCCTAAGGTCTCTGTGACGTGAGTACGTGAACCCTAAGGTCTCTGTGACGTGAGTACGGGAACCCTAAGGTCTCTGTGACGTGAGTATGTGAACCCTGTGGTTTCTGTGACGTGAGTACGCGAACCCTAAGGTCTCTGTGACGTGAGTACGTGAACCCTAAGGTCTCTGTGACGTGAGTACGGGAACCCTAAGGTCTCTGTGACGTGAGTACGTGAACCCTAAGGTCTCTGTGACGTGAGTACGTGAACCCTGAGGTTTCTGTGACGTGAGTATGTGAACCCTGTGGTTTCTGTGACGTGAGTATGTGAACCCTAAGGTCTCTGTGACGTGAGTACGCGAACCCTAAGGTCTCTGTGACGTGAGAACGTGAACCCTGAGGTTTCTGTGACGTGAGTATGTGAACCCTGTGGTTTCTGTGACGTGAGTATGTGAACCCTAAGGTCTCTGTGACGTGAGTACGTGAACCCTAAGGTCTCTGTGACGTGAGTACGTGAACCCTGAGGTTTCTGTGACGTGAGTATGTGAACCCTGAGGTTTCTGTGACGTGAGAACGTGAACCTACGGCTGGCTTAAGTCTAGTTTTTCCGTAGCTCTAGATCTAGATCTAGAATCTAAATAGATAAAGTAAATTTTTATAAGTATTCTTTTATAACATTGTATACTGTATACATTTCATAGTGTACGTCTTGATAAGTAGATCTAAATCAAATTTGAATGAAATAGTTCATTTTATAATTTCCAAAAATTGGAAGATGACGCCATTAGTTTTGTGTTCTTTCCGCAGTTTAACCTTGTGAAATGTGACGTCATTGTTTTTTTTTTGCTTTCATGTCACGACAATAAACACTTTAGTTAGAAATCTGTTTCTACATTAGAAAGCCTTTTTTTTTTTTTTTTTTCCTTCTTTAAAGAAAATTTAGTTTATACAATTATAACGTCCACCATATTTTTTCAACAAAAGTCCGTATCTTTAAGTCCTCCATATACCGCTGAACATACTGATGATGCTGCCAAAAAATATTGCGGACAGAGAAAGAGACAGAGAGACAGAAGTGCACACATGTGCTATTATATATTAGGATTTTAAAAAAAAATTCCAGTGGTATTCAAACGAGATATATTTAAAAACAATTGCCATTATGCAAAATAATATACATTTTTAGGAATATGAATAACTCCCCATTTATCAAAAAGAGGCACCGTGAGATTTTAAATAAGGAAAAAAATCACTTGTTTCATTTAAATTTTAAATAATACCCAAAAAAAAGTCATATATATTCTAGAACAAATTTTTATTTCAAGTGTTACATAGGGTCTACACAAGACGGAAAGAATTGTTGCAGTAAGGGGGACAACAAATATATTTCTGGTTGCGCACGATTTAATTCCCTTTTAATGAGTGTATTACGATATTAAGGCATAAACCATAATGAATGCTTATTGAAAGTCTTACATCGTAGCAGTAAGTTAGAGTCTTTTATGAGCAGTGGAGTTTTTTTAATTAAAAATTTGCCAACTGAAAGGCACGCCTGGGAATATAGTGTCGCTAATAAATTTAACAACACATTTAAAAATCACATAAACCTCATTAGAAATCAAGTTTAGAAAATATTTATTTTCTTCCTAACTCATTCCAGGTTTTCTATTTCGGAAACAAAATCTAAAATGGCAAGGGAAGTCACTAGTAAATTTCTAGATTCTAGATGTACACAGCGTGAATCAGAATAGCGGAGGTTGTATTCAACTTGTTGAGACCTCTAAGGCTAGAATAGTGGACTCTCTAGAATACTCGAGATCTAGATTTCTAGCTTAGTAAGTAATATATCTAGATTACTTACTAGATCTAGATCTAGAAGCTTCTTCCTGAGTAGTCACTTTGTTACATTACTGAGATTACATTAATTAAATTCATTAGGCCTAATCACTGAAATGGACACCAAGCGAGTTGACGAGATTCCTTCCATAATGTTGTTGACATGGAATAAAAACGTGCTTTTTAGATTTTGACCGTAAAAAAAATAAAAAATAAAAACTTATGCCTAAAATTAATTTAGAAATTTTATATTTTTAGAATAAATGCTATAAATTATAAAAGTTGCAAATCCAGAGAACTTGAAAATAATTTGTTGAGTTTAATTAATAATTAACCATTAATGTCCCATGCATTCTACCAAAACTCCACCCATGACGGCCCAATGTAAGGAGCATAACTCTGTATGATCAAGTGAATAGTTTCACAAAATATTTGTTTTTGTCTAAATGAAATTGAAAATTAAGATAAAAAGTACTGCTTAATGTTGGGAATAAACCTGGCTTTCCAACAGTATTAAATAGAATATATTATATTCGGTACAAGTACAGTATAAAAATAAAAAATGTCGGAGAAAATTCAAAACAGGTCATTTTCGGTAGTCAACTTTATTTATTTTTGTCTAAACAACTATGCATCGAATTTAACAGTTAAATATTAATTTGGTTATGTTTAAGATATATACTTCATAAAATACATTACTAGATACGTTTAGGGGCATTATTTTATTTTATTTTTAATATTAAATCTACTAAAAATAGGACAGATGAGTCTAAAATTTCGAGATAGAAAGAAACTATTATTTTTTATCTTTCAAAAGCGCCATTGAAATTAGAAGACCGGAAAAGGATGCTGAAACTGTCCGACTTCCTGTTTAGTTAAAAATTAGGATTTGTTGGCCAAATTTGAATGAAACAAATTTAATTTTTCTATGCTTATTGTGAGCGGGCGGCAGCGGGCGTTACGGGACATTAACGGTGTCGGGCGGCAGCGGGCGTTACAGGACATTAATGGTTAAGGCTACATTTCTATTTATTTTCATCATCAAGCCTAAGTTATAACCGGATGTTTCACTTTCGTAAGACAAATATTGATTGGCTGTACAGTAACTTAGTGATCGATAACTATTTGATTACAAAACTTTGCAGATCAAGTTTTTAAATAACAATGCAAATTTAAAACCCCATGACCTAGTTTTCTATTTTTAGCTTACAATGTGTACAATAAAATTTATGGCGGCCTATCCAATAGCAGGATGCCATTGTTTATGTCGCCATTACACGTGAAAACCAAATTGTTTTTGCTTTTTTTTTAAATTTTATTTAGGCCTAGTTACCGAAAATATTAAAAACATCAAATACATCCAATCTTTAGTAAAGTCCGAAAAAACCCAGACAGGCAGGATTTTATAACCATGTTAATTGTAACTACGCCGTGCAAGATTTTTTAATTAATTTATGCACCTCTCAAATACCTTTGAGACTTTTCTCACTGGTGTCCATTGAAAACTAAAATATTAAAATAATATTGGATTGGGGCGATATTTTCACAATCATTTTGAGTAGACTGCAGACCCTTTGTATTTTAGTATTTAGATCTAGATCTAGTATGAATTTAGTGTATCTCTAGCAGAACAAGCCCTACCATGGCCAGCAGGCTAGTTGCAGATTGATTTAAATATAAACTCAAAACAAAAAAGTCTCATTTAAATAAGTTAATAATAGTAGGCCATTACCTCACACACATGCCTTAACAAACATAAACAATTTATTGAATTTATTACTACTACCTACAGTGTTACTACAGCAGTTATGATGTTGTTAGGCCTAGTATATACTACTAGCTATCTACTATCTTAACTATCTATAAAGTCAATTTAGAAATAAGCATTAGTTAACTAAATTAAAGTTAACTTTACCAAAAACAATGTCCAAAGTCACAGTCAACCTATCTTTATTGCATAATAAAAAAAACTACAAGGCTTGTGACCTGATTTCATTACTGAATTTCTCAGGTTTTTAAGAATATTGTTTTTAATTTGACTTAGGCCTAAGCGTAATAATTCATCTTAGGTATGAATGTTAAAAGTAACTAGTAACTTAAAAAATTAATTTTTTTGACTGATGATGGTTTTTCTTATTTTAATCTCTATAGGCATTACAGAGGCTGAATTTCAAATGAGTCTGACAAAACTAAGTGGTGGCCACACATCGTCTGTCCTGTGTGTTGCTGTCCAGCATCAGACAGGTCAAGTTGTGTCTGGCAGTGAGGAAGGAGATTTATGTCTCTGGTCCAATGAAGGTCGACTGGAAGGAAAACTTTCCCGACCCAACACAGACTGCACTTCTGTGGTCTTCTCACGGGAAAATCCTCACATTATCTATGCTGCGTTTGGACAAGAAGTTCTAATGTTGGATGCTCAGAGACTCCAGGAGCCAGTTTTTGTGTTTCAGTCAAACCAAGATGAGGTTAATCAGATCGTGTTGGATGCAAAAGAGCAGTTCCTTGCTGCCTGCGATGATTCTGGTGAAACTAAAGTTTTCGGCCTACAAGACAAGAAAGTTTTTAAAACCCTACGCCACAAACACACAAATATCTGCTCAACTGCTGTATTCCGTCCTGGCCGCCCATGGGAGATTTTCACCGGGGGCCTAGATTGCAGGTTGGTTCACTGGGACTTTTCCAAGCCGAAATGTCTGAACCAGTTCAATATGCAGGAGTTCTACGCTACACCTGGTGACACGCCACACATGATAAACCCTCCGTTTGTTCATCACATGGTTACCTCTCCCAGTGGCAACACCCTGGCGTGTGCTTTAGAGAATGGCCAGGTCCCAGTCATTGATGCCAGCCAGAAAAATATCCAGCCTAAACACACTCTGTTCGGGCACCTGCAGGGTGCGTCCCAAGTTCATTTTCTGACGGAGGAGATGCTACTCACTGCTGGTAATGACTGCTGCATCAATCAGTGGGATCTGACTAAGGCGGCACTTTATCAACCAGGCGCTGTTTATTTGAATGGGATCGGGGCAAGTGCTGACCCGGACGAGGAAAGAAATCTGGCTATAACTGAGTTATGCCGTGTCAGAACATTGAGCCACCAGTGTAAAGTGAACTGGATGGTGCCATATGTAGCACAAGACAATAAATTTTTATATGTTGCTGATCAAACCCCTGATATAACAATTTTAAATTTGTCCACTTAGGTTTTTATTTTTTTTAAAGAACAAAATTTGTTAGAATTACTTGCCTGCAAACCAATGTTTTTCCCTGACTAGATTTTCTGTGATGTCTGCTTGCTCTGAGTTGTAGTAAAATATTAATAGTAAAATATAAAGATATGAGTATATTTAAGCCTAGGCACTCTATGTACTAATTAATTTTTCTGTTCTGGTTAAGCTAAATTATTTTTATTTATTATTTGTACCCATAAATAATAGTCTCCTTGTTTAGATTTGTACTCCAGTCATTAATCTCATTAAGTCTTTGTTTGTTAGGGGATAGCGTGGCCTAGCAATAGTGCGGTAGACTGCTAACCCTAAAGTCTTGAGTTCAAATCCGGGTTCAAGTCAGTAGAATGTCCTTGAGTCCAACCAGCTCTGATGGGTATCTAACTCACTTTAGGAAAAATTTAAATAGGTGATTGAGCGTAGTGCTGACCACACCATCCCTTCTTAGGTCAAGGTTTCAGAAACTGGTGAGCTCTACTTCACTTGCCCCATAGACCATCAAGTTCGAAAAGGGAACTTTGGCTGATATTGATATATAAACCTTTGCTTTTAATAACCTTACATTTTAACAAATATACTAGAGAACAGCAATATATCTTTATAGATATAGAGAAAGCATTTATAGTAGTAGTAGTAGAGTAATTATTTTTGTAAAAAGAATTTGTTTAAATAAAAAGTTTCTTTTGTTAAAATAGTGCAGGCATAATAATTTAAAAGTTAATGTATCATGTTTAATAATGTACATCTATTATGTTGATTACTTTTTTAAGGTGTCATTTCTCATTTTAGTTTATTATATTTAAGATTTAACTTGTTTTAACAGAAAGTCGTCCCATAAAGTGGATCATTAGCATATTATTTATTAGGTAGTTTTACTTTAAATCAATGTAGGTAACATTAAAACAAAAAATTACTGATCATGTAACTTAAGATAAAAAAGGAAACATTCAAAAATATGTTCTGATGTTATCTATTTTTTCAACTCAATAAACTAGCAAAAAAAAGAGCATGATCTTTGTATATATTTGGATGATGTTTACAGTAATTAAAGTATATTCTATTTTACATTGTCCTTTAAGATGACTAAGTTTTTTTTAAAAGTATTAGACGTAGATGTATAAGTCCAAGATATAGGAATGTTTTCATTTATTTGTTGGAACTTTGTCTCCAGTAGTGATCATGTTCTCAGTTTAGCTACCTGTATGAACATTTGACTTGTGTACATTGAAGGTACTATTAGAATGTTCACAAATTATCTTTTTTTTTGCTAATTTCTTTTAGGAAGTGGAGGTCTATCTAACAACACTGTTATTGTAACCTAAGAATGTTGCTGGTTCATTATTCCAATGATGTTCACTGTTTTTAACAATGTTTTGAATAGTGTGCCGATGTTAACTACTTTTTTTTAAAAAAGGCTTTGTACATCCTTTGGATAAATTAAGTAAAGTTCACTTTGTTTTTAACAATGTTTTGAATGGTGTTCTAATGATGTCAATGTTTACTACTTTTTTTTAAAAAGGCCTTGTACATCCTTTGGATAAATTAAGTTAAGTTCACTTTGTTTTTATGGAGGATGTTGAGTGGGGAAGCATAAATATTTTTAAAATATAGAGCATACTAAAGTTTTGTAAAGTTGTTCTTCAATTTTTAGCTTACTTTAGGGTAAAGTAAATGGTCACAAATAAAAATAACATTTTATCTTCAATCATCCAGACACTTCTAAACCTAAAGAATGATCAAAATGTTTTTTGTTTTAAATGGCATAATATTTTCATGCTAATTTTTTAGTTTATTTAGCTCCCAGTTTCTGAGTAAAATAAACTATTTTTTTAAAAAGTGTTTGTCTTCATTTTCTTTATGCTTCTGAGATGTACACAGCCAAGTTAAAAAATGTACTCAATGCCTAACACTAAAGTAGCCCAGTCATAAAATATTTACTTGTCCATCATGTCTACTTTAACATCTCATCAAAGACAATTATTATTATTGTCTTTGTTTCATATCAGTTTTTCTTCTTCTTCTTCGTTCTTAATTTTTGAATATGGTGGAGGAATTAGACAACAAGTCCAACTTCATGGACAAACCGGTTGTGGTTTCCAGTTTGTCAGGTGTCCCATATAATTTTTCCCTGAGTGGGGTGGGCTGGGGCCAGTGTCTGCCTCTTGCCTGGCTCATATCAGTTTAATTTTAAAGCTTTCTCTTTTGATGTTATTGTCATACACTGGCAACAGCAGTCTCCAACAGAAAGCTGTTTGTTTAGACAGGGATGTGACCAGACTAAGAAAAAAAAAATTGGAAGCTTTTTTAAGACTGACGCTCTTATGTTTTATCGCATTTAAAAGGTTTAGAACAGATTGTATTAAAACTTATTTCTTTGAAAAATGGAAAAAACATATTGGATCTGATGTTGTTTGTAAATATGAGTTGCACACTACTTGCAATTACATGGTGAATTATAGCAGTTGTTTGAGTATACTGGGACATTGACTGAAACATGCATCTCTGGGGGTCGTCTATAAACGTCAAACTACTTGGGGGGGGGGGGGGGGGGAATTTAAATGACACAAAGAAAACTGCTGATCTGAGGGGTGGTTGTAGGTTATTGATCTGTCATTGTAGTGGTAGGGGTGTCTGGAAATTTTTTTTGTAATTTATTTTTTTACTAAATCTGCCAGGGGGAGGTAAAACTTGTGTGACATCATTTTTTATGACTTGAGTTGCTCTAAAAATGGCTAAATCACAATAGAGGGATTTCCTGATCCAAAATATTTACAAAAGCACATTTAGTTTTGGAAATCTTTATTAATCCAGTAAAATAATTCAGAATTGTTTAACTTATTCATCAGTAACAGCAATACATATTTCTTCACAAAAGTACCTAATAATAGAGTCACTTCCCCTTTTTAATGCATGCGTGGACATAATTTTTTTTTAATGAGTCATTTTATTTCTAGATTTAAAGGGTGGCAATAAATGTTAGCTTAGGACTCGTGTTAACTAAACTTAATGACTAAAATTTTTATACTATTGGGAATTTTGAAAACATTCTCTCATTTCGGCTAAATCCAAACAGAACATGGAGGATCGGTGGGCTCTTGAATGCGATGGAATGCTACAAATCTGGATGTTTGTAATAAACCAGTTTGTACAATGACGTCACTTAGCCCGGAAGCAGTTCTTTTCCATTGAAAAAAAATACCCTCATTCTAAGCCTATGGTTGATATAATCTCTAATGAAAGGGTGTGACCCTTCTCTTAGTGGTGGTAGTGTCTAAATTACCTGTCTGCAATCTAACGGTCAGTCGAGCTTTTAAATCATGGTGGATGGAAGATAATCAGTCATTGTTAACAGTGCTTTAAAGAGGTAGGCATTTTTTTTTTTAATTTAACAATGCACAATCAGAACGACCAAAACAATAAATTATCGAGCGATTCTTGATGTTAAAAAAAAACGAAGTCACAAACCAAACCACCTTTTTTAAGTTCAATCTTGATTAGTAGATCTAGATCTAGATCTAGATTTAATAATCTAGACTAGATCTAGATCTAGATTCTAGATCTATTAAAGTTAAAGATGTTAGGTTTTTATTACAGTCGCTCAGTCAGCATTTTGGGTCAAGAAATCTAGATCTCTAACTCTAGAATCTAGAATAGATCCACGAGAAGTTATTAATAAAAGTGGCCCACTTGTGTAGAGTGTAGAGTGTAGGACTAAACTAATGAAGTAATGGATCAATGATTGATTTGAATGATTATGCCTATTTTTATTTTTTTAGATCTAGATCTAAAATCTAATCTAGATCTTCCTAAGGCTAAGTCCCAAGGTTCTAAGATTAGTTTGGTACTCAAGCTCTAGGCCCCCTAAATAGAGAAAAAAAATTTAGGCCTGCCTAAGGTAAAAGGTAGTAGAATCTAGATCTAGTCTAGTAGTATTAAGTATTAAGTATTAGATCTAGAATCTAGAGTCTAGGCCTACTGGTTCTAAACTAACTACTGTGTTACAAACAAATTGAATTTGAATAATTATTAGGGTCAACTCTTAGTCTACTTCCATCTACATTTTCTTGCAAATTAAAATAAATAAGTATAAGCATCTAGATCTAGATTCTAGATATAAATCTAGATCTACCATTGAAAATTATGCCAGCAATGTTGTATGTAAGTGCTGCTAAAATAGGATAGATCTAGATCTAGATCAATTTGTTGGTTAGGTGAAATGGTAAAAAACAAAGACAGCCACTTTGTACAAGTTGCATAAGCCTAGTATCAAAATTGATCTTGATTGATTAGTAAATCTGGCCAGTGTCACACTGTTATTTATCAACTAAGGTTTCTTTTAGTTTACTTTTAGATTTTCTCTTAAATCTTTTTATAACCATTCAAGCCTGGCTAGGCTTTGCAGCTTCACTAAATTAGTTATTTAGATTTCACCTCAGGTAAAAATATAATGAGGCTAATTGAGAGTTGAGCAATAAATTAAATTTGTTAGCCTAAATATTTTCTTAAAATAAAATGTTTACAGATGTATTGAACCTGCATTGCCATTTTTATTTTTGAAGCTGCATCTTAACTTAAAATAAGTTTTTATACCTGTGAAGAACTAGAATTTTTTATTTGTTTCTTAAAGTTCAAGATCTTGGAAATCAGTGAAAAATGTAGGGTCTGTGTGGTTTGGGTCGTTAATCCTCATGGTTGCTAAACCAAAAAGTCCCGAGTTAGAATCCACGGGGGAGAGGAGGCACAATAGCTGGGGACAGCAATCCGTCTAGGAGACTAGGAGAGTAACAGCTGCTGCATTGTAATTTGCACATAGGTGGAGAAATGCTGTTGAAGCAAATCCAAAAAGAAAGAAAAGCAGGCTGAAATTAGAGTCAAAACAATTTACGGCACCATATAACAGGTTGACAATTACCAATGTTCTTAGAAGTTGGACTTGTTGCTAACTCTATACAAATACAGGGGACCAATCCAAAAATTAAATTTAATCTTGTTAGTATTTGGACATACAATACAATTTTATTTGTATCTGTTGTTGAGTTAGATATAAATGTTTACTTCATGATCTTAAAATGATTAAATATCTCAATGTATCACTATTTATTTGTGCAGCTTTAATATTTTT